ACCTGTACCCCCCCTGCCTCCCCTGTAGCCCATCCCAACCGCACTTGTACTCTCCCAGACTCACCTGTATCCCACTACCTCAAAGCAGTGGCTCTCGAAGTGCTGGGAGCAGAAGTAGATGTATTTGGAGGAGGGGTCCCAGCGCCCCCCCCCCGCGGGGTCCCGGCGCCGGCTGTTCTCCAGCCACTGCACGCGGCGGGGGTCATCCCTGCGTGGCAACCTGGGGGACACGGGGACGGGGGGGCATTAGGGGGGGACATGGGGGGGTCACAGGTCATGGGGGGAACCTCAAATTGCCCCCCCCCCCCCCCCCCCGCTTATTTTGTGCTGAAGGGATGACACCACCACCCCCCCCTCCCCAAGCCTAGCAATGAAACAGTCCAGGCAGGGCCATTAAAGGAGATGGGGCTGAACCATCCCCAGAATTGTGGGGGGACACAAAAGAGACCCCATTGCTGAAGGGGGGTCTCTAGGGGCCCCTGGGGGTCTCTCTCCCCCCCAGGGGGTCCCAGGGGTGTCACCCACCGGTGGAAGGAGATACCCCTGCCGCGGGTGTCGCGGGTGTCGCGAGTGCAGCAGCCGGAGGCGGAGCAGTGCCGGGGCATCTAGGGGGGCGATGAGGGCGGGGACAGGTCTGAGACACCCCAAAATACCAGCACCCCCTCCCGCCACCCAGCACATTCCCCCCGAACCCCCCCCCACCCAGACACCCCCCAAGCCCCCGGGGTTTAACCCAGAGCCCACCCAGGGACCCTACAAGACTCCCAACCCAGGGGTGTCCCCTCCCCCGAAGGGTCACTCGGAGTTATAGATGTCGACAGGCACCTTATAGAGGGCCCACCCCCCACTTTATAGCGCCCTACAGACCCTTATAGCCTCCTCCACTGGACCCCACAGACCCCTACAGGCACCCTATAGCCACCCCAATGGACCCTACAAACCTCTACGGGCACCTTACGGACCCTAGAGACTCCCAGAGGCACCTCACAGGGTCTTCCATGGACCCCTATAGACCCTCTTGGGCACCCCATAGGCCCCTCATGGACCCCAAAGACCCCTATAGACCCCAAATCCCGCCTCCCGGTTCCCACCTCGGCGCTCCCATCCCGCCGCCACTGCCACCGAACTCTCGCGATAACCGCCGCTCTCACGAGAACAACCCACCCCGCCTCCACCCAGCAACACCTCCCTGGGCCCCGCCTCCCGCTTCGCTGATTGGTTGGTGCTTAGCAACGAGCCGCGCCCCCCAGTTTCTTCGTTTGCATGCCGCGTTTTGATTGGACAGGTGGGACGCGCCCCCCGCCCTGTTAGCATGTACGCCACGCCCTTCCCGCCTCATTAGCCATGTGGGCCACGCCCCTTTATGTTTATTAGCCATTCCGGCCACGCCTACCTTGCGAGTTTGGGGAGGTTTGGGGGCTTTGGAGGAATCTGAGCAGTCTTGGGGCGGGAGGGAGGGTTGGGGGTGTTTTAACGCCCCCAATTGGGTAAGGAGGGTTTTGGGGTCTCCCCAGCTGGTTTTGGGGAGGAATGGGTTGGGAGGGGATTTAACACCCCCCGATTGGGCTAAAGAAGATTTTGGGGTCCCTCCCCCTTCCCCCGTGGCTTTTGAGGTACTTCAAACCCCTCCACCCCCCCCCCGACTCAAGTCCCACTCAGGACCGAGACCCCCGTGAAGGCACTTTAATGAATCTGGGGACACCTCTCCAAAAAAAAATCAAGGGCAGGTGCTCTGGAGCAGCTTTTGGGGTCCCCTTGAGGGGGTGTTATGGGAGAGGTCAAGGGAGGTTCAAGAGGGGATCAAGAGGGGAGGTCAAGGAGGGCTTTTCAGGGGGGATAAAGCGGGTTCAAGCGGGGGTTTAAAGAGGGGTCAAGGGGGGATTCAAGGGGTTTTCAAGGGGGAGGTTGAGGGGCTCCCGCAGTGCTGGGGGCGGGTCCGAGCCCTCCCCAGGGCCCAGGGGTGTGCGGGGGTGTGCTGGGGGTGGCAGGGGAGGTGTCGCTGTCCCCGCTGTCGCCACTGTCACCACTGTCATCGCTGTCACCCCCCCGCAGCATCCGCCGCACCGTGTGGGACACGGTCAGGGGGTCGCACCTGGGGGGAGGGAGGAGTGGGGAGTGACACCCTCCCGTCCTGGAGACCCTCCTGACTACCCAGAACCTCCCCCCGAGTCCCCCCAATGCCCCAAAACCCCCCATAGAGACCCCCAGGTCAGGCAGACAATATCCTATAACCCCTACGGAGCCCCCATAAACCCTACAGAGTTGCCCAACATCCCATAAGCCCTCATAGACCCCCCATAACCCCACAGAGACCCCCCATATCCCAAAACCCCCCTTAGAGCCACCTCATAACCTCATAGAGCCCCCTGAGCTCCCCATCCCATAGCCCCCCATAGCCCCCCCATAACCCCACAGACCCCCAAGGTGTCCATAGGGTCTCTAAGCTCCCCTCCAGTGTCCATGGGTGTCTATAGGGGCCCATGGGTGTCTATAGGGGGCTATGGGTGCCCATAGGGGCCCACAGGGTCTGCGTGTCCCTACCTGAGCCGGGCCCTGAGCACAGCCACGCTCCGCGCCGTGGCCGCGGCACCGTCGCCGACATGGTCAAGCTGCCGGCGCAGGACGTGGCCCTGGGCCAGCACTCGCGCTGTACCCGCCGCCACCGCCGCCACCTGCGCCGCCACCAGCCCGGCCGCCACCTCACTGGCACGGGCCTGGGGACACAGGGACATCGCTGGGGACATCGGGGGTGTCGGGGACACTGGGGACATTGGGACATGGAGACACGGGGATGTGGGGTGAGGGAACAAGGGGATGTGGTGGCATTTGGCGTCGGGATGTGGGGATACAGTGACACAGGACCTGGGGACACTGGGGACACTGGGGGCACTGGGGACACTCAGGAACAGGGGGGACATGGGGGGCACAGAGACTGTGGGGTCAGGGGGTGACAGGGAGTGCCCCAGGTGACACAGGTGCCAGGTGACACAGGTGACACAGGTGCCAGGTGACACAGGTGCCAGGTGCCCCCCACCTGCAGACGATATCTTTCTCCCCGCAACCGCTGCTCCTCCACCTCAGCCACCAGAGCACGCAGGCGCCGGCTGGTGACACGCGCGGCCCGCAACAGGGACAGACGGGTCCTGGGGACACACAGGGACACCAAATGTCATGCAGTGTCACCCCCAGACCCAGAGCCAGTG